TGATACTTTTGATAAATTTCTATCCAAAAACTTGAAGATTATTATCAATTGGTATGTATCTATCACGAACGAGGGTCTTGTCTAATACATGAAAGACTTCAGTAGCAACAAACCTTCACCAAATGGCGATACAGTACTTCCATTTGAAAATTAAATAAACTTGTTCATTAGGAGCTCTTCGGTTTGGTCAATAATTTACCGAGCGGCATGGCCTAAAGGTTTAGACTATTGCTTAACATTCGGGAGGACGCCGGTTCGATTCCGGGTCCTTCTGCTTTAGTCCAAGTTTTTCTGTGGTTTCCTTGGATCACTTAGGTAAATGCTGAGGCAGTAATATTCCACAGATAATCTTTAATTCTCTTCTGTCTTCATTTCGTCCGTCTCATCTTTCTCACCCAAACCACCACCCACCCATTCCCACGATTCCTGAAAGCAGGCTGAAGAGGGCCTTCCGCCCTACCTTCCGGCGTAGTCCGGAGGGACTGCCCGCCCATCAGCATCACTGGCTGGTGGGAATGAAACACCCAAAGTTTCAATAATTTATCGAGACTAAAAAAATCGAGATCGCAATCCGAATTTTGTTGTTTTGGTGAATTTGTAGCTAGTGATGAGCAAAGCAACATCAAGACCAAGAATGTTTTGTTTGAACCTTGGTCTTTGTCATGCTCAAATACTTCTAGTCTTGGTCTTGATCCTGCTGATATAGTCTCGGTCTTGATCTTGGTCTTGGTGTTAAATGATACAATAATAGTTATAAGTGTTACAATTTTCTGTCATAAATGCAAATTTATGAATTTTAAATAATGTAATTCCAATAACTGTGAAAGTTACGAACACTCGAGAAATTAATCTTCCTCCAACCATAAATTGATCCTTCCTTCAATGCATAAATAAACCTTTTATCGAAAAAAAAAAAATGTACAAAGTACTTGAAAGACGTAAAAATGTCGACAAAAAATTGAGTTTGCCTCTATATTGCATCTACGAGGGTGGATTGATAAGTTTCCGGCCTAACCAAGAGATGACGCCACTAGGCCTACCTTGAGGTGACATTCTATAGTACCATCCTTGGATAGCTTGTAGCTATAGTTTCAGCCCGATCTCCTTGCTAGTGTAGGTTTGACAGCACGCTGAACAAGACGCCTCTGTGGTTTTCGTAAAAATGGAAAAGCAGGAAAATCGTGCTGTCATCAAATACTTTTATTTGAAGGGGTTAACGCCGAAGGAAATTAAAAAAGAGATGGACTCAACACTGGGGACATCCTCCCCGTCATATTCAACCGTTAAGCAGTGGGTTTCCGAGTTTAAAAAGGGTCGTGTGAGCACCTCTGATGGGCCTCGCTCAGGACGCCCCGTTGAGGTCACAACTCCAGATATGATCGAAAAAATTCATCAAATAGTGCTGGGAGACCGCAGATTGAAAGTGCGTGAGATAGCTGAGACCTGTAAGATGTCATATGAACGTGTGCAACATATTTTGCACCAACATTTGCATATGGAAAAGCTCTGTGCAAGATGGGTGCCGCGTTTGCTAACAGTCGACCAAAAATTGATTCGAAAAAACATTTCTACCGCAAATTTGTCATTGTATAAGCGTAATCCAAGCGAATTTTTGCGTCGATTCGTAACCGTTGACGAAACGTGGGTCCACCACTACACTCCTGAAACCAAAGAACAGTCTAAACAGTGGATTGGACCAGGGGAACCAACTCCAAAGAAGGCAAAAACAATTTTTTCGGCGAACAAGGTTATGGCTACTGTTTTTTGGGATGCAAGAGGTATTATATACATTGATTACCTTGCAAAGGGTAATACTATCACTGGTCAATACTACGCAGACTTATTGCAACGTTTGAGCCACGAGGTGAAAATTAAACGACCTCATCTGGCGAAGAAAAAAATCTTGTTTCATCACGATAACGCACCAGCGCACACGTCAATCGTTGCGACGGCTAAAATCAACGATCTAAAGTTTGAATTGATGCCGCACCCTCCTTACTCTCCAGACCTAGCCCCGAGTGACTATTTTCTGTTCCCTAATCTCAAAAAATGGCTTGGCGGTAAGAGATTTGCGGACAATGAAGAAGTAATCGAAGCTGTAAATGGTTATTTTGAGGAGCTTGACGAATCAGTCTATAGAGATGGCATTTATAGACTGGAACACCGCTATGAGAAATGTATCAGCCTTGGAGGAGATTATGTTGAGAAATAAAAAAAAAAAATTTTTAAAAACCTTGTTTTTCTTGGTCAGGCCGGAAACTTATCAATCCACCCTCGTACATCATTGCTCTAGAGGTGACAGTAGCAACAACAACGATCTTGCCTAACTAGGTAGGTCACAGAATCGTCGAACCAATGTACAATCATTAAGAATGAGAATTTTAGGAGAATTTTTGTAGAGTTTATCTGTCTGTCCTGATCCAAGTTTCTCTGTTGTTTCCTTGAATTACTTAGACAAATGTGACAATTATATTCCACAGACAATCATTCACACTTTTCTGTCTAAATTTCGTCCGCCTCATCTTTCTCACCCCAAATCACCACCCATCCACTCCCACGATCCGCAAAAGGAAGCTCAGGGGAATCCTTCAGGCCTAATTATCAGCGTGGCCTGATGACACTGCTCACTCACTAATATTAGCAGCTGGTGGGAATGAAATGAAGTTTTTTTTTTAATTTTATACCGAGTGGCATTATCTACAGACCATTCCTTAAAATTCCGTTAGAACACCAGTTAATCTCTCACATCTCTCTTGATTTCACTTCGCCCACATCACCCTTCTCTCCCCAAGTACCACCCACTTATTTCCACGATTCCTAAAAGGAAGTTCAGGAGAGCCTTCCGTCCTATTCTTTGGCGTGGTCTGCCAGCACTATGTACTCGCGATAATGGTATAAGGGCGAAACTATTTCCGAGATTTGATATAATAAACTCGTGAAATATCCCATTTTGACGTGACAACGTCTTATAATTCGATGGAGCCGGCTGCACGCACGAAAAAACATGACTCATGCGGCGTTACCTCGCTCTGAGGCGTTCCATTTAAGGCTTGAAGTGCAAGCGAGAGCGCGGAACGAGCGACAAAGAGGCACAATCGGCCTCCGCGTTCGGCAGCGTTCGACATCTGTCTCTCTCCTACTCGAGTGAGCGATGCGTCCGCGTGGACAGCTGCTATACAATAATACATTTCCATTTACCTCCTTCTCTATATCCATACAAAATATCTATCAAACAAATAAAATTAAAATTTTCTTTTCCATCAGTATTTTCTTATGACGTTGTCACGTTCAACTATCGTCAGTAAACCGACTTTATAGACAACCGATTTTTTTTATAAAAAAAGTGCACCACAAAAGGTATTAATATTATAAAGATCAGAAGCCTAATATGTTGCATTGTCATCTCCCTTATACATGTATGGAAAATTTCCAATGCCAAATTCAAATAAACTAAATTTGTCACATAATAATTTCACGATAACAACCATTTCTCGATCATTTGGTCATGCGTATTTCCTTCATAATAAATTTCGACATTTCGGGCCAACGTTGAATTTAAAGTACAAAACTTTATTGGAATCTTGACAATATTAATTCGATTAGGTTGGTAATTTTCAAGATTAATGCAGATATCAAGTCAAAACAATTTTTGGACATTCAAATAAAGTGTGCAGGAGCAATTTAATATTATTTTTATCTTATTATAGTAAAGCAAAGCTTTTGACAACGTTAAATGGCACAAAATGTTAAATATAGTTAAAAATATAGGTATGAGTTACAGAGATAGAAAAGTGATACTTAGTTTGTATAAAGGGCAGTAGCTGTGATAAAGCTGGAGCTGCAACTTAGAGAAGTAAATATTAGGAAGGGAATCAGACAGGGATGCACACTGTGACTACTACTTCTTAACCTATACAGCGAAGACGCGATCAACATTATTAAAGACAGTACAACTGTAAGGGTAGGTATACAGGGGCAAAAGATTGGTATGCTTAGATTTACAGATGATATAGCAGTATTAGCATCTAGCAACGAGGAGTTAGAGATAGCGTTAAAAAAATGGAAGAGTATTGACAAAAAGTACTGCATGAAAATTAATAAAATTAAAACAAAAATGCTAGCATGCAAAGAAAGAAAAAGTAGGGAAAGAGCGAATATAAAGATAGGAGACGAAAAATTAGAAGAAGTGACAGATTTTAGGTATCAAGAAAGTCAGATAAGTCAGGACGGAAGGAGTAGTAGGGATATAAAGCAAAGGATAGCGCAGTGTCGAGTCGCCCTCAGTAAAATGAAGTTACTTCTATGCTAGCAAACGGTTAATTTAAAACTTCGAAAAAGATTGTTGAAGGTGCATGTTTGGAACGCGGCACTGTACAGATGCGAAACATAGACGGTGGGCGCGGCGGGAAAGAAAAGGTTAGAAGTTCGAAATGTGATGATACAAGGCAAATGATATTAAAAATAATGGAAAAGAGGCCTCTATGGAAGTCAATAAGAAATAGGCGTGATAGGTTTGAAGGACACCGTCTCATGCATGAAGGTCTAGTCAGAGACATATTAGAGGCAGAAACAGGAGAGGTAAACCTATATTAGATTAGTGTTCGCAAATAGTTAAGGATGTGAGTTGTTCTAGTTTTGAGGAAATGTGAAAATTACCTCAGGATGAGAAGGAGACGAGGAGCGTGTCCAGCCAGTCTTAGAACTGACGACTTATAATGATTATACTAAAGCATGTTTCGTTACGCCTATATACACTATTGATTTCAAGTTTGAAAAAACATAGTAAATGAAGTGTGACATATGATATACTGTTAGAAGACAAACAAGTACGTGCTTTGTCTGTTCCTAGAACAGCCCTTGAAGATAAGAATATTTTGCTCGATTTATCTTGTACTTTAGAAATACAAAAAATTATTAAGACCCAGAATCAAAAATGAACTTTATCGCTTACGCCATTAGAAATGATAAAATAATATACCTATAAAAGACAATAAACTATACAATGTTCTATCCAATTTCTGAAAGGTTTCAAGTCGTTAAGGTGAATACATAAATCAATTTTCCACAATGAAAGCCATCGTTTTTGCACTAGGATTCCTAACTTGCTTAAGCTTCGCTTATGCTGGTAAGCGTTAATGTTACCTATTCTTTAATTTTGAAGACATTCGAACATTTAATCGATTGCCTTTTTAGTATTTATTCAATAGTTAGGGTAGTGTTTTTGTTAAAACGTTCGTCAGGATTATCTTATATATATATACTTACTTCAGTATTTATTGTAAAATAAATACTTCATACCGCATTTTCGATTACATCAATTGACGTTAACAGTTGCTTGTCAGTTTGCGCACGACGATAAATAACAGATCCAAGCAGCCCTTTAAAATATCCAGATTTCGAACTGAAAATTTATTCTTATTAATGTAGGGTTATTCAGGAATAGTGTAGGTCTGTGTTAGTCCAAGAATTTTTAGAATCGGTTAAGTAGTTCCAGAGATATAAATAAATAAACAAATTTTACCACTTTATATAAAATATTTATATATACGAGGGTGGATTGATAAGTTTCCGGCCTAACCAAGAGATGACGCCACTAGGCCTACCTTGAGGTGACATTCTNTATAAATAAATAAACAAATTTTACCACTTTATATAAAATATTTATATATATATATATATAGATAATTAGCGACAAGTCTCTATAGGTAGCGACTTACTGTTTATCTGAAGATATTTACTAATTTCATTAATTACCAGCAGTTTTTCGTCGGAATTGCCTACGCTTCCGCCGTGCTGATGAGAACAAACTAGTTTGAACGACATTTCGTTTAAATTGGTGAACTTTAAAATATTAATGTGCATTAAAATATAACAAAAGTAAAATAAGCCTCTAAATCTAAAATATAAGAACAACAGTGACACTTTCGAAAATTGTATCGCAAAAACATTATCTTCCTTGTTTAATTAAATTTTACTTAGTCTCATTATTGTTTAGTGCTATTACTTATATTGGTATTTTTACAAATATGTTAATTAAAAATTTCCGTTTAATTAGTTAAATCTAGTGTAATTGTTTACTTTCATTACATTTCAAATTTCTTTGTTGTTTTGTTCAGTTCAACTTTATAACATTTCTTTAACTGTTTAGGTCATAAATTCCTTTCTTCTATTGTTTGGCTTTATGATATTTTGTGAATATTCTAATTGTTACACAGACAAAATGTTCGTGAGGAATTCAAATAGTCCCTGATAGTATATATGAGGTTTTTCTGATTGTCACTAATACCTGACTCATTTTTGCACTCGACACCCTCTCATCTATGACGACATTCACGAAATTCCAACATTTGCTAGTTGTTCTCTAGTTTTAAGTAAATTTAAAGTTGTTGGTATATAAGAAACCTTCTTATTAAAAGCATCAAACCAAATTGGGTATTACTTTTACATGAAAACATTCTAGTACAACGGAAGTTCAACAACGAAATTTCCGGATAATTTTGTTATAATACGACTGCCAAATTATTATTTTAGAAAATTTTTACCACCGTTTAGGTAAAATAAAGTGTCGATCAGTAAGCAAAAGAAGCGATCTTGTTTCTAAATAAATAATTTCGACTGCCTTTCCACTAGATTCGAGATTTAACACAACAGCTGAAGAAGTCAGACAAGTACTTCAAGAGATCGATCCTGCAATAGTTTCTGCACTATCGTTGACTGCGTTTGACAGGTATTAATACATAACCTTATTTGCATTTGGGAGTAACGCTTGAATTTTTCACAATTACCTTGTAGAATAAAACATTTTATTGTTGTAATTCAATTTTCAACCGAAATTACAGATGTATTTTATAAAGTAAGACTTATTGATTAATATTAGGAACAAAATCCTGAGGACACAATTACGATTGTGTTTCTCAATTATATCTGCTCTTCATTCTATTTTCGAGTTAAAAATAACAAAATCTAGTGATAAATGTAACATTTTATATATGCATACGACAAGCGCCTTCCGGAGCTACCTATATGTGAATATGTATGAAAATATCATATAAATTTATTCGTAGGATAAAGGTTTCCATGACCTCCGCATCAATTTCTGACTTCTCCAAATTTGTCTTCCCAGTGTTGATAGATGATGGCTCAAATGTAAGGGGTACTTTCCAGCTTGAAAATCTCGCAGCCAATTTGAATAATCTCTATACAGATCATGGAACAGGAATTATCGGCCAGATTCCACAATTTGAGTAAGATCATATAGTATAATCAGGTTGTATCAATTTTATAACTTTTAAGTTAATAAATTAAGCAATTCGTGAATGATTCACTTCATTGTAACATTTTTACAGTGTTGCGGTTGGTGGAATTAATATTGGCCTCAATGCTTCTTACACTACTTCACCTCTCCGTTTGACAACCCTTTCATCTTTGCTTCAACTTAAATCTATTTACGTAAGTAAGGAAATCTATTAAAAACTTAATTTGATACAAACATAGAGACACAAAGTTAGATTGTCTGAAGAAGGTGCTGTGCACAGAAATAGCTACGAAAAAGAAATAAATTAGTGTAGTTCGACAAAATGGTGTCATTTGCCGATTTACCTTGTTCCAAATTTATCTATGCACCAAGCGAAATATTAAATAATTTAGTTGACAAAAAATTCTTATTGGGGCGAATTTTCTAGTAATTAATTATTCGACGAGTATTTATATTATAGTTCCTTATCTACACAGGAACACTAATAGGACACTTAAACAAATACTTATTTGTATCATTACTATATTATAAAAGCTTATTTATTCATTACCATCACACATCATTCGTTAGTCGCTTATAATTCGCATTGTTTATTTATATTACTGATCAGCTATTTACAGAAGTCTACTAATGTTATCGCCGAATTCTCTAGAACAGTTCTTCCATAATTAAGTGATAAATATGTGTCATACAGGATATGATTTATTACTCTCGGCGTCTTTGCCCCTTCCTTAAGGCTGATCCGCTTGGGGATATTATTCTGTCCATCCGATTCTCAAATGGAAGTAGCAATCCACGGTCTTCAATTGGGGGGCTCTCGTTATGGATTGTCGGCGCAGAAAAAATATCTACTCAACTATAGCGGAACAGACCCTCTAGCATGCTTCGTATCACTCTCCAGTTCAGCCCATCCAAACCACATCTTATCCTTGGCATAACTAGCTTCATGATATAAGTGGCCGGCATACGGTCTCTTAATTCCATCAAAGAATCCCATAAAGAGGGTTGGTTCGCCAGACGATTCTTCTTTGGTGACATACTGGTTCCTAACCGGTTAATTTAATACCTTCTTTCCATTTCTCAGCTAATCTTGCAAATCCAGTAGGCGATCAAACTTTTTTTGAAGATCACAAAGCATATATTCAAATTTGCGGTCATACAATGAGTGAACAAATACTTCTTCGATGCAGCAAATAAGTTTTGAGATCTTTCAGATGTGACTCCGCAATTAGTTTTGGAATACTAGCTCGGTACATCCATGAATTCTTCATACTGGCGATCCGGAGATCGAGCTTGCATAAGTTTTAACCGAGCATCATCCGGATTATTACCAGCGTATGGAGTCAATCCAATAAAATGGGTAGCATTCCCTTTCGATACATGCCTAATCCGTTAGATGACATCATTTATTCCCTTGACGATTTTAATAGACCCCCTGGTGATGCTTATTGTACAGTTACACCAGGTGACTATAGAGTCAAAGGTGTTCTTCAGGTCCCTAAAATTTGCATGTGAGAACGTACTTCTTTGTGGATGTCAAGTCGCTTTCCGTTTAGGTAAAATAAAGTGTCGATCAGTAAGCAAAAGAAGCGATCTTGTTTCTAAATAAATAATTTCGACTGCCTTTCCACTAGATTCGAGATNTAGATGACATCATTTATTCCCTTGACGATTTTAATAGACCCCCTGGTGATGTTTATTGTACAGTTACCAGGTGACTATAGAGTCAAAGGTGTTCTTCAGGTCCCTAAAATTTGCATGTGAGAACGTACTTCTTTGTGGATGTCAAGTCGCTTTCGGAGTTCACTAACGTAATCTTCTCCGGGGTCATCTCCACTAGATTTACAACCAAAGTCTAAATCGCATCATAGTTGCAACTCCTGACCAAACCGTATGTTCGATCCGTAGATCGACAATCGATATGCCAGAAAAAAAAAAATACCAGACAAAGTCTTTTCAATGTTCGGAAACGATCTCGGACAAGATGTTGTTAATGATATGATGATGCCTGATTGAAGATGCAGGGACGTAGTCCGCCTTTTGTTAATGTCCAATATTTAGCAAATGTCTCAAAACATGGCGAAGTCAAAGATTTGACCCTAATTAGAATGGACCATAGGTATTTAGCTAGGAAGGTTGTACGCTTCCACCCATTTCGTCAAGTAATCCATTGCTACTACGATGTATTCATGTTCGGTTGCCGGATGGTTCATCTATGGCAATTACCTCAAATGGGCTGTCGACACCAAAACGGTTCATAGAGGCACAATGTCCTTTTGTGGTTTCTTACTGGCTGCACAAGTAGTGCCATTTCTTACAGTTTTCAATGTTCTTCTTGCAGTTGACCCAGTGAAATCGTTCACGTACCCGTACCACAGGACTTCTTTCACCAAATCTCTCGGTGTGATAGGCTAATGTCTGCTAGTATTCTACCACCCGCTTCAAGAAACTATCTTCCTCAGCAATAGAATCCCATTGGCACCGTAAAAATTACACTTTTACAGATTTCGCAACTATTTCTTGGTAGGTCGGTCGTCTTTCTTCATTTTTCCAATCTGGAGCAAAGTCAAAGTTTTCTCCTATCTCGATGTTGTCAGGCTGCCACAACACTTATGTTAGGGAGCGAGTACAACTTTATTTTTATTTTTCGTTTCTCTCATTCCCACCAGCCAGTGGACTACGCCGGAAGGTAGGGCGGAAGGCCCTCTTCAGCCTGCTTTCAGGAATCGTGGGAATGGGTGGGTGGTGGTTCGAGTGAGAAAGTTGAGCCGGACGAAATGAAGACAGAAGAGAATGAAAGATTATCTGTGGAATATTACTTGTCCCAGCATTTGCCTAAATGATCCAAGGAAACCACAGAAAAACTTGGACCAAGACCAGACGGACCCGAAATCGAACCGGCGTCCTCTCGAATGCTAAGCAATGGTCTAAACCTCTAGGCCATGCCGCACGGTGCGAGTACAACTGAACGTCTAAATGAATACACACAGATGCGGCTGGGAGGGGCGTATCAATCAGACCGCGCCAGAAGAGAAGGAATGACATTGCATAGCTCCTGTAACCATTGTTCTACTGTATACTTTGCGATCTGCAATATTCTATACAGTAGGGTCAATACTTTGACCGGTCCTAAAATACTGAGGTCTGTTGCCGCATCTATTAAATACTGATAATCGATGAATAACAGTAATCGATGTAGCATTTAGAGGTTGCTTAGGTACGCAAAAGATCAGGGTAGGCTTTATAACTACCTGGTTGGAATTATGTCTTTAAATAAGCGTCTCTGCCTTCCTAAATTCCTTAGAATGTTGAATTTTCTTGAAATCTGATGCGTGCAACATACTCAAATTCTGTTTGTCTGCATCTCATTCTGTTACATATTAATTGGTGTAATGTTATTCTTTTTTATTTATTAGTGTCCGCTGCAATTTCTAACTGACATCTCTCTTCTATGTTTACGATATTCCCTATAANAGTGGGTAGAAATTGAATTAACCTCAATATTGTTATGATAATTTTTCATAGGTATTAATTTATTCATATTTCAGGTACAGGGTTCAGTTAGGAGGAATGGCTCCTTAGTAAACGTTGTTGTTGGCAACGAGGGAGTTCAAAGGGTTAATGCGTTGGCGGTAAAATATGAACAAGGAATAAGCAAACTTATTTTAGATGTTTTCAATGATGTTTTGGAAATAGTTAGACTTTAAAAAGTATACATATAATATATGTAATTGTACAGTTAATAGCCACATGCTTTAATTAAATAAAATATGTTTAGTTTTTTTGTTTAACTTATACATACTACAGGTTGTTCTAATAGTTCAACTTTAAAAAAAATTGAAAGCTTTTAACGTGCTTCACAACTAAAAAATTAGAAGTCCTTGACAAGTCATTGAGCGAACTTTTAGCAATTGCTTGGGACACCCTGTACTGGCGCCGATCTCGATGAACAATTCATTGTGCGAAAAATTATTCGACTTATCGGGATCGGACAAACGGGCATTTATTTGTTATAAACTAAAATTCGAGATATTCAAAGGTCAAAACTAATGGTTTGATACAAACTGTTATTTAATTAGTAAAAAAATGTGTTCTTTTTAACATTTTTTGACAAACGAATTATGTCGAACCAAAGGTTTCTCTCACATTGCTGTTTTATATTAGGTTTAATGCAGAAAATAAAAACTTACCTACTAAAATTTAGAATTTTTTGCAATAAATAATTTTTCCTGCTTCTAGCCCAACATTTCAGCTTGGCACAAGGTAAATTATTATTAAACAAACTTACGCTCAAACCATTCAACAGCAAAGTGCTGTTTAATTGACCTACATGAAGTACTTTCGTTTATCTACCCTTAATCCCAATTCATTGATGAACTGACTTTTTGATTGTATCATACGGTCAAATGCAAATAAAATGTTGTCACAAGTACCGTATTAGTTTTATTTGTGAATGTATCACATGTAGTTAATGTAAATATTTAAACTTTAATGGCATCAACTTGAGAAACTGATTAACTACTTGTGACTAAGGAAATTGAAAAAATCAAACTCGAACGGAAGGTGAAAATAATGGATAAGATATTTTGTTATCTTACTTTTATTTTCACATACGAATACAATAAAAATAAGATTAAAAAAGCAATATAATTTTAGATACGGTACGTGCACAGGAGAGTTTAGCACTGTTCGGACTGAGTCGACTTTAAAGTCATTAAAATTTACTATCTGTAGCATTCGTCTTTTATCTTAGCAAATTAATTAATTAAATAATACATACTATAATCATACTGTAGTTTTCCGAAAATTAGTAGATAAGTACGATCATCATTAAATAACAGGCAGTAATAAACCAAATCGTACTAGAAGGTTCCGGAGAGCGCAAAGCGAAGGGTCTACAAAACAGTAGCGGTTCGTTAAAAGCAGCAAACAACAAATAAGTAAAAATTGTGATATTCATTTCTTCCCTTAATTTTTTTTCCGTTAGATGTTAACTCAGAGCCAACTATAAGGGTTAATGCTTTATTAATTTTTTAAAGGCTTTTTCAGATCTGTAACACATGTAAATATAATAGTATTAGCATCTTTTAGTGGCTACCTACATAGATACTAATTACTTCTTGTTTGCTTGATTTCTAATAGTGTTCTAGTTGACATGCAATTTATAAAAATAATATAAATAAATTGAAAAACACAACTATACACGTATAAATATTAAGCTACTTAAAATACTTCCATGATATTGGTTCTTTTAAAAGAAGAGATTGAGAAATTTTGAGTTTCCAGTATGAAAGATTACGTATTCTAAAAAGTCGAACTTTTACCATTTTCGGCGTTATTTCATTCGACATTATTTGTTCATAGGAAAATTTCCTACTATTTAATACTTTTTAGATTTCCAACATATTCAAAATTACCCTGCAAAATGAACAAATACGGAAAGATATGTTAAATAAAACACTTTTTTTGGAATAAGTGCACCCTTTTCTATCACACCATCGATTTTGACTTTTTAGTAACTGAAATTTTAGTTTATACAAATTAATCCTGGTTTATCCGTTCTGGATTGGTCAAATAGTTTTTTGACTTCACGTACGAAAAAACATGACTCATGCGGCGTTACCTAGCTCTGAGGCGTTCCATTTAAGGCTTGAAGTGCAAGCGAGAGCGTAGAACGAGCGACAAAGAGGCACAATCGGCCTCCGCGTTCGGCAGCGTTCGACATCTGTCTCTCTCCTACTTGAGTGAGCGATGCGTCCGCGTGGACAGCTGCTATACAATAATACATTTCCATTTACCTCCTTCTCTATATCCATACAAAATATCTATCAAACAAATAAAATTAAAATTTTCTTTTGAAAAATGAAACCATTCCATCAGTATTTTCTTATGACGTTGTCACGTTCAACTATCGTCAGTAAACCGACTTTACAGACAACCGATTTTTTTGTAAACAATTTTAAAAATTTTGTTCAGTACTGTCGCTTATATTCCTATTCTGAACATTAGATGTTAGAGATCATTTTTATTTATTAAAACTGAACAATTAGAAGTTAGAGTTTTTCGATTATTAATAAATAAATTAGACATCGCGACCCATATATTATCAAATGTTATAAAAGAACATATAAATACAAAGTTTCTAGAACATGTACTTTAAAAAAAAAAAAAAGAATTATTCCGATCCAGAGATATGCATTTCCAAAGATTCATCGTGTTTATTGCTAAACGACGCAGCAAGTGGGAATGATTTTGCAAATATACGATTGATGTTTTCGATTTCATTATCGCTATCAACTTTTAATATGAAGCTCGTGACATCTTCACTATTAATTTAATTAGCGTTGGAAGTTTATGGAAATACTCGAAAATCTACGTAACGCAGCGAAACAGAATGTTCAAGATCGCCTTGCGTTATAAAATATTAGCAACCCCGTTATCTCCCTAACCGATTTCGATTATTTTTCTTTGAAATCTATTTGTAGCGAGACGTGTGTGAATTTTTCCACGTTACACGTGGAACCAAAATAAGTACTTACCGAGATACCCGTTTTTTCCTATATTTATTGAAACTTTATGTTAATAATAATTCATATAATTAAATTTGAAAAAACTGATATGTGACTGTGAAAGAATGCCCATTAAGCCTGCTGAATAATTTCTATAAATATTATAGAGGGGAATCGCATGATCTTTAATTTAGTGAAAGCTGACGCTAACTAATATTTAAATTGAATTTTCATGAAGTCTTCATTGCAAAGTTCGACAGTTTTACAAAGAAATATACGAGGGTGGATTGATAAGTTTCCGGCCTAACCAAGAGATGACGCCACTAGGCCTACCTTGAGGTGACATTCTATAGTACCATCCTTGGATAGCTTGTAGCTATAGTTTCAGCCCGATCTCCT